CACTTTATTTATGGCAGTCACTGCTTTTGCCATAAATAAAATACAGCACTTTAGGATTCTTACTGACTTGGTACAATATTAGTTATTCCATGTCGAAGAAAGTTTTTTTTTTTTTTTTTTTTTTATAAATTGCTGACAGTACAGGACTGGACAATGATGTAATCTGCAGAATTTACACTTCAATTATGAGACTATGGTATAAATAAATTCAACTGTATAACAGTTTCACTGCAATTCATGTTATAATGTTAGAATTAAAGAATAATAAAAATAATACATATTACCATTGCACTTATCTGTACATAGTAAATTAACTTATTTTTAAGCGGTTGTTGACATCGTATCTAAAATGTGATTTAGCCACAAAAAAAACCCCAACAACAATAACGTTACCACTCTAATACATCTTGCAATATCCATGCGTGCAAAGGTTCTGTGCGATCCTCTTGTTCAATATTCTCGGGGTCTGAATCCGGCAATATTGACGCCATCCTTAACTATAGCGGAGCAGACAGAACTTGCTGCTTTGGCAAGGGGCGTGGCAGTACTGAAACACTGTCTAAGCTGTTCGCCAATCACAACGCATTGGGACAGCTAACCAATCACAACACATTTTGTTTTTCGGAAGGCGGGCCTTCATCAAACCCGGAACTAATCGAGCCATTTGTGCCAGGCTGGGGAGAAAGGTATTGTAATAATGTAAATTATGTGAAAAATAATGCATTTTTCGAACCACCAAGCATGAGAGCATGTTCTAGTACACCCCCAAAACAAAATCAAGACTTTGTAAAAGAGCATAATAGGACCTCTTTAAAAAGTGTACTAGCAGATGCTAAATATTTTCTAAGCAAAATAATTAAAAGAATTAAATGACAAATTTAACCACCAAATGATCAATAAAACACTTTTACCTCAATTAGATTTTTTTTTCTTAAAATACATTAAAACGTCACAGCGTATCATCATCAAACTGCTATCATTAATAAATATTAACGTATACCTCATCCCTCAAAGACTCCCAAAAGACATTCAAAGCACTCTGAAAGGACAAAAAGGTTTTGTTACCGATAACTTTTGTGCTTTTCTTTTGGTTTGATAAATGAGCTTTGCTGGACTGCCATTAAGCTCGCTGTCCAACTTAAAATCTGTATAACAACCTCTGAGATTTGACCCCGCCAAGACACGTGTATGCAATAATTCATAATCTGTGCAATAACCTCTATGATTCTGACCTCTTCATGAATTAAAATGAGGTCGATGTTTTGGGTACTTCACAAAGATACTTGAATCACAAAAGCTAGAAGAAAGCAAAAATAGATAATACTTGTTAAACTTGGCTGAGTCGCTCTTTCCTTTCTGGGCTGCCTGATTCATTAACTTAGCGAACATTGAGAAAATCTATTTTTATCATAACAGTGTAGATGGTTTTTGTCTCCCCCGAAGTGGAATATTTGATGTAGCCATGGATACAGATTTAAAAGCAGTGTGTAAACACTAATGAGAAGTAATTATGACAGAATGATTAGAGCTCAGCAGTTCTCATTAGTTCTCAAGGCCCATAAACAATTGTAGCCCATAAACAACTGCTTTGTGAGCCATCTGTTGTGCTTGTTTGGTAACTATGGGTGGATTTACTTTTTTATTGATGATTTCATTTTGATTTGGGTTCTGGTACTGTCACAGATGGCAAAATAAGTCTGATCTCACTCAGGTCAAGGGTAAAACGTTGAGAAGAGAAAACGTTCAGCAGATACTGTAGATGTCCCACAGACAGAAAAGCTTACACCATGTTTAGTCATGTCCACATGTATGAGGTCACTGTGTTCCCTTATGGGTGAATGGCAACAAAATACATACCTTCCATATCATACACATCCAGCCAAATGCTAATGGAAACGCCTAAATTACTTAATGCTTACATTAAAATAAATGTGGGCTTCACTGAATCTATTAATGTGGAAGAGCTTACGTCTGCCTGAGCCACATGTACATGTTCCTGACACATTGAGCTGTGACAAAGATTGAGCCCTGTCTCCAACATGTCTTAATCCCATTTAATCAACAATAAACTGATTAGGGCTGCACAATATTGGGAAGGAAAAAAAAATGGACACTGCGATATTTAGTTTTTGTTTAATGTGATATTTAAAAAAATACAGGAATTTTCACCAGATGAATATTTGGAAAGAAAATCATTCTAGATTTTGTTGGGAAGTGCATCTGCAAAGAAAAAGAAGAAGGAAAAAAAATTTATATATATGTTTTTTTTTTTTAAGAGAGTGAAATTCTTTTAGGGCTGAATGATTTGTGAAAAACTTGAAAAATGTTGGTGTTCATACTTGGATTTACTTTTTACAAGAACCAACTTATTATTATTTACAAAAACAACTTTATTTTTATTATTATTTAATATAAGTATTATTATTATGAAAAATAAATACTAAAATAATTAATTAAAGAAAGGGCTCAAATTAAAAATAATTCAATTTTACACTAATTTTACAATACTAACATTTATGTATATCATAATATTTAAAGGCTTGATTCACAGTAAATGAACCGAACATTCTCAGATGCTGAAACACTGAATCATGAAATAAACATCTAAATGCTATGCTTCACTAATTGACACTGCGATATTTAGTTTTTGTTTAATGTGATATTTAAAAAAATACAGGAATTTTCACCAGATGAATATTTGGAAAGAAAATCATTCTAGATTTTGTTGGGAAGTGCATCTGCAAAGAAAAAATTTATATATATGTTTTTTTTTTTTAAGAGAGTGAAATTCTTTTAGGGCTGAATGATTTGTGAAAAACTTGAAAAATGTTGGTGTTCATACTTGGATTTACTTTTTACAAGAACCAACTTATTATTATTTACAAAAACAACTTTATTTTTATTATTATTTAATATAAGTATTATTATTATTATTATGAAAAATAAATACTAAAATAATTAATTAAAGAAAGGGCTCAAATTAAAAATAATTCAATTTTACACTAATTTTACAATACTAACATTTATGTATATCATAATATTTAAAGGCTTGATTCACAGTAAATGAACCGAACATTCTCAGATGCTGAAACACTGAATCATGAAATAAACATCTAAATGCTATGCTTCACTCTGAAACCAGTAAAGCATACATTTATTTAATTCAAATGAAGCCCACACAATTTGACAAATCGCACTAAGCCATATCATCCTATTGATTTTATTTCAATATATTGTGCAGCCCTAATACTGATTAATTTAAATAAAAAATTATTTTCATATTTTACTGCATTAGGATTACAGTTATTGAGTGAAGTGAAACATAACAAACATATGACTTTAGACTTTTTACCATTAAAGTAATATATTGCATTGGTTGAACGTGTGCTGTGGCAATCCCCACTCGCAATAGCATGAAATAGCATGACATGAAAGCCAATCAGTGATTTCCTACCGGTGGATAGTTATGTGAAGTAGAAAACACTGGCTGTTACTGTCCGGTTCACTGTAACTGATATAAGGCCTTCATGGTCCAGCCATCCCTCTGGCATTCACGGGAGCCAAAATCTAATTATTTTCCCTGCATGGTCCAATGAGCCCTAAAGGTTAATTATTGTCTGTCTGCATGATACCCGACTGCCAGAACACAATAAAAGCTGTTAGTCGCTGCAGATAGCAGCTAATGTCAGACTGTGTGTATCCAAGTGGCATACATGAGTTACCAGGTGCACTCGTGAGGAGCTCTGAAATGTCATCTAGGATTCTATTGGAAACCTTCTTTCTTGCTTCATTTACTATAAAGACTAGCATGTTTGCCTTGTATTGCAGAGAAAATGTATTTCATAAAAGATATAATTTTCAGGGTAATTGACAACATGTAACAGATGCTCAACAGAGATTAAGTTGTATTGAACCTGGAACAAAACTACAAATTTTCCTTTTCCTTCTGACAACAAAGCTAATGCTAATGCTCAGCCTAGATTTACTTTATCAGGCACAGCAGCTCCTCTTTAGTCCCCTAAAAATACTGTCCTTCACTGGGCTGTTGCAAACTCTGGCTGATTTAGACAGCATCTGTGTGCTCTCCGTTCCCATGCACGTCATTGTTTAATTTAGTTTGTATATCTATATATGTATATCGAAGGGGGAGGGGCTATCAGACTATAAACTATAAACAGAGTCTGATAGCCCCTCCCCCTTCGCTACATAATTAAAGCTGCGACAGTTGAATGCATGAAGTGTCCAACATTCCACACTTTGGGTGTTTAAAGTGCACCTTTTCTTTTTGGAATTTTCAGTGTGAACGCACTACTCACACGATTTATAATAAAAAACGTCACAGAATGGTGCATAAGTACACAATTTGGGATGCACCTAAAGACTTATCCAGCTGTACTCAGTGCAACTTTTAACATCCAAGTGAAAGATAAAACACCAACATGTCAGAAAAAAAAAATCACTCCCTCCTAAAAATTACTTATGAACTCAACCAGGTATAGCTAATCACTTTCTCAATGGCACACAATCAGCTGTGGTCATTTTGATTAGCTCAGCATGAAAAGAGCTTTCCTGGAGATAGATAGAGAGAGAGATACCTATACATTTATTTATCCATCTATCTATCTATCCATCTATCTGTCTGTCTCTTTTTAAACGATAATTTTCAACTTTCAAGTTTAAAAACGGTCTTGACATACTTTGCTTTTCTAGTTTAAAATGACTCTTATACGAGTTTCTTTGAATTGCAATTCTGCAACGAGTGTGGGGACCCTCAACAAGATCAAGACAGGACAGAGAGTATTACTACATCTGCTTAACTACACATTGTAGGCAGTTATAGTAAAAAATAAAAGTTTCATAAAACAGGCAGGGTTAAAGTGAAGAAAGCCTAATTAGCTTAATTTATATAGATGAAATATAATGTTAATGTTTCTAATAAAAACATTAGAAGACTATGGAGGGCTTCCCAAGCATAGCTGTACATGTTTGTGTGTATGTACCTTGCGTGAGCAGCTGCAGAGTACGGACCTCTTCTCTGACGCGGAGCTGGAGGACCTGCTGTAGTATGTACTGTCTCTGACTCTCCTGCATGATGCCCATACGCTCCAACTTCCTGTCAGTGAGCCTCATCAGAGCTCGACCTGCACACATACAAACACAAACACATGAACATGAAACCAGGCTAGGCTTTACAAAGAAAAAAAATATTACAAATTGCACATTTATGAATAAAACCACATAGCGCATACCAATTATAACTGTATTTGTCATTTATAAGGGGCTATTATAAGGCCCTTGTGGAAAAACGGATCGAGTATTGTAATAATCTACATTACAAAAAGCTAAAGTGTATATATTGTAATTAGTGAAACAAAATAGACTGGAAATTTTTCCTCCAGATAGAAATATGATCAAGGTCAGATGAAGTTCACTGTCATTTTTAATCATCGCCTCACAAATATTCTCCTCATATCTGTGCTGATAAAAGTCATAATAGTGCCTGTCAATGCCCCAGTTAACAGCTACCATTTGTGCACAATAAAGTTAAAGCCATTGTACCATCTCACACAATGCCTTTAGGTAGTGAAGCAGAAAGGCTACTAATGCTTTTACACTACGATGAAAATTGTTAATTCGATTGTTTTTCATGGAAGAGACACAAACATGGTATCATTATCTATGAAAAGGGCGGTATTCAGATGGAGCACAGTACAATTTCCAGTGATTATGCTGCATTATGAGTGTGGATGCTCTGCCCGTGCTACTCGCTCCCTCTTTTTCTCTTAATGGTCATGTGTTTAAATCGAAGCATGTCTCCAGTGAAGGGGAAAGTTATGCAGAACTGAAAAAAATCCACTGAAAGCTAGCCAAACAAACAAATTTAGCTGATTCTTACCCACTGGAGAGCATTTCATGTGGTAATGCAAAAACTTGAAACTAAAAGGACAAAGGGGAAAACATGAGAAAAAAATAAGTACCACTATTGATCAGTAAACGAAAGGGCAGCCTGTAAGAAGTCAGTAAAATTACAATAACTGAAATTTAAAAAAAACATCTGCTTTTTATATAATAAAATAATACATGTAGTGAGCTTTATGCTTAAAATATGCAAAAATTAAAAATGTGAAGAAAAAATAAATAAACACTTCAGGGCACAACCAGCTTTTTTTTTTCTCCCACTGGTCCAATGGTTCAGATTTCTACTTTCCATACCAACAATTTCTGGCCCCATCACAAAATGATAAAATTTTTTTTTTTTTTTTACAAATAGTTATATTTATATTTTATTTGTATAATACCGGTACATACATTTTAAAATGAATTTAAATTCAATGTATTGTTTTCTAAGAATTATTTTAGTATTTATGAATTTTTTACCAATATACTGCATATATAAATAAATGACTATCACAGTTATAAATTAAAAAAAAAAAAAAAAAACTCACTTGCTGGAAAATAATAGCATATGGTGATTTGTTTTTAAATATTCTAAGCATTCTAACTGAAGTAGATCACAAAGCACTCCGCAAAACCGCCTCTTTATATTATAATAATAATAATTATGTTACATTGGTGACATTTAAATCAGTATAATTAGCAACAGCAATATTCAACACATTACAAAAAGTCAAATGATTAAATCTGCAAGGCATAAAACAAATATACACGATCATAAAACATGGGATTTAGTCTCAACACAGTAACTAACTCCAAATTTAAACTGGCCCTGGGCCATCGGGCCCTCCATATTGCTGAGTCCTGCACTAAATACATTCTCTGAACATTTTATTATCTTATGTAGTATTGTTTCTCTGTTAAATTGAAGTGTTCTGATGTTCATATACTATTTCTTGGGGGAAAAGTCAGATACTGATGAAGAACAAGATTCTTTTAAAGTTAAAAACAAATGTACATGACATTTTCTTAAGAGAAAAAATAATCTTATAGGGCAACCTACTACAAAGTAATATAAGAACAGTAAAAAAAAAATTTTTTTCATGTCTGATCAACACAAACTGCATCACATTTTGATGCCATCTATATTTCTAAATAGAATATTGAGGCGCTATGAGCACAGATGGGACCTCTTTAGTCATGGAACATTAGAAGCAGAAAATTGGAGTATGTGTGAGGCGTGTAGGTTGAGGTGATCGGGGTAAGGTATTTTAGTATGTTGGTAGAGTGCCAAACTACCCCTTCTTTTGGCAGCATTTGGCTGAAACGCCTCAATGAGGAACAGAAACTCAGCGTGCCTTCTCTCTGAATCACTGCCATAAGTGTTTCACTGAGAAGATGAGTCAAAGCCTGCTAAAAGAACAGAAGAAAAGAGAGTGTGAAAACAGGAAAGAAAGAAAATAAGAGGAGAATATGTATACAGATGGGAAAAAAGTTAAAAATGTGAGTGCATGAGAAGAAATGGGAAAGGTGCCATTCTAAACAAATAACTGTCCAACAAAAACATTTGAGAGGTTCCTTAGATGATACTTAGCAGGAAGAACGGGTCACTGGCTAACAGCTGTCTCAGCAAGATAAGGATGCAAAAGAATGTAGTCTGGTAGAAAACAAAAAAAAGCATAAATTATTGTCTGTTATATACACAAGATATTTTGGCCATCTTTTGTGCAAATGACACTAAAGGCTGATTTATACTTCTGCGTCGGACCTACACCGTAGCCTTTACGCCGTAGGCTATGCGTCAGTTTTCATTTATACTTCTGCGTTGTTGTTGGCGTCAATGTGCAGTACACATGCAAACCGCTAGTCTGCAGTGTCCACGGGCATGTTGCTGGTGTAACCCGCAGTTCCACGGCACAAGCCGAAGAAGAAGCGGCTCGTCGGAGAAGCATTATAGCCGTGACGGCGGCAAATAAATATCAAATCATTAAATCATTATTTAAAACTACAAAAAGGAGACAACAACGGAACAGGAGATGATGGCATTCTTTCAATCTGCACAAGGACTTGTACCACGGCAGATCAACATTGTTTGTTGCGGACAACTACTGATGTATAATGCTATGCAGTATAATAAATGATGAGACACTTGTTCTTTGCTTTGTTTTATTTAATATAAGAAGGTGTAACATTAAAATATATTAAAGTGCACATAAACACACACAAAACTCAAGTACATAAGGAGGGAGGGGTTCTTGCAGACCAATCACAGCGATTGCGGTCTACGTAGAATTGACGCGCTGTTAGATTTTTTTGAGAGGTGCACGTCAGGCTACGGCGTATGGGTGTGTGTCTATGCATAAGCTACGGCGTAGGTCCGACGCAGAAGTATAAATCAGCCTTTACTGTATTATACATAGTGCTTCACTTAAAGATGATTCAAAATAGAAATATCTTCTAATATTTTAGTTTGTTGAGACTTTTCCCAAAAATCCAACTGAAAGCTAGCCAAACAAAACAATTAGCAAAATCTGAATATTACTATAAAAGGACAAAGAGGAACAGGCACATAAAAAAAAAATCTGAATAAGTCATAATACTGCCTGGGTGTGGGGGGAGTAGAGCGCAGTCTCGGGTGTACCCCCTGGCCTGCGAGGGGCGATGGGGGTATGAATTAAAGTTTGTTTAAATGTTCGCCGGTTCCCGCCTCCTTCTTCCCGACCTACAAACTACGTTACAGTATGTTATATGCTATAAAAATGCACAGTGCATCATGTGTTTGTTTGCCTTTGAGTGGTGAAAATGGCCTTTTCATGTCATAATGATCATTAAAGTCTCTTCCCACTCCTTCTAGTAGCAGCTGAGCTACTGCAGTTTTCTTTGCTCACGTTCCTGTGATTACTAATCTTTGTGCAACTGACAAAGAAATGGCTTAAAAAAAATTTAACAGCATCTTGGATTTCAGCATACCGATCAGTCGGAAATCACGCTCGGCTTGCTCTGAATACCGTTGTAACTGTTAGCTTCTACAATAACCGTTAAACAAAGGCCGTGGGCTCAAATCAGTGCCTAAAAGATACACACACATACAAACCAAAAGGTCAAAGTTAAGCAGGTTAGCATGAAGCTGTCAGCAGTTATTCAAAAGAAGTAGTGCATTCCACATATGCGAGACATCAGGGCAGATAAATTCACTCTCTTTCTCCCTGTGGTTGCTGGACTGGCACACTCATCTTCAGTCCTGATGAATGGACTAGCTTAAAGCTCTCTCTCCCTCCTTTGTCACTCTAGGGACCTGTCCCTTTTACATGTGAACCAAAAGCCTGGCTAATTACTGCTCCAACAACCAGGAGGGATAACAGACAGAAAGAGAGAGAAGTGGGCTGGGGTGGCTCTGGGGCCTATAAATAAAGATGGAAATTAACCTCAATTTCTCTGACAAAACTCTCATGGTGAACAAGCAGGACTGTACTTGAGAAACACTGAGGCTGCTTGGACTGGTGAAGGAAACTCCTCAGGTGATACTGTAGCATATTTCACAGTTTAACTGCAGCTGCATTCATGAGTCCCAAGAGGACCTTTCATACTCTCATTCTTTCTGTCACACATACACATATATAGACACACAACATGGCAGGCTCGCTAGACCCTCAAATTATCGCAGAGCCTGAGTGCATGGCTGCCAAGTATGTCCCTACGTACATCCATTCAGAGTACCATCCAACAGGCAAGATTATGCTGCAAAATTGTCTACTTTATGATTAAGGACAACATTCTAGATGAAAAATGCCAGTGAGCAGTATTGTCAAAAGTGCTGATGTTGGTAGTACTGAAATTTTAAACATGTGACGATGCCAGCATTTCCCTCTAGCATTTTGAGCGCTGTTGAGCTGATTCTTAAACACCTCTGATTGGCCATTGTGTTCTCGTGCACAACAGATATGTCTGATTGGCTACAATGATCATCGCTTCACGCTCTTCAAAGAGAGCTTACACAGATACACACACAAGCATTTGAACGCCGCTTCTATCAGCGGATCCGTCTAGACCAGATATATTAGGGATCCACTGAAAGTCGTGGCTTTCAAACGCTCCCGTGTGTATCTGTGTAAGCGCTCGGTGAAGAGCGTGAAGCCATGATCATTGTAGCCAATCACAGACCTATCTGTTGAGCAAGAGAACACAATGGCCAATCAGAGGTGTTTAAATCTGATGCTGAACAGAACATTCCGCTACATTTACTGTA